AAGATGCAGAGACTTTTTCTGAAGTTTACTAGGATGATGGCTGTAGAAGTCATGAGAGAGAGAGAACTTGCTTTGGATAAATGCTAAGCTTTAGTGCAAAAGCCTGAATTAATTCTGAAGTGGACTGAAAGATTCTTCAATTAAAAATCTTTCTTTTGACTCCATGTTCAGGCTGCAGTTGCACCATAATTGTATTATTAGTGCTTCTCACTGACATTGTGGGCCGCAGTGTAAAAGCCATGCTAAATTGTGGGCATTGAAAGCATCGTACCGGCACAGATTGATTTAAAGAGGATATTTAATTTGATTGGGATGTTTTTAATCTTGGATGCTAAATCCTTTTTCAGCCAATTCTTCATTGCATCTGCACTTTATAATCGAAGCTACTCTTTGCCATCAGTTTCTGTATCAACCCTTTGTGTTGAATTTACTGAAAGGAGTGATAGTTAAACTGGCAGGGAGACTTTTCAGTGCCCACGTCCTCAAAAAAAAATGCTATTTGGACATGCATGAATTTCCTTTTGAAAAATTTTTGGTACAAATTAAATTATTTTTATCACCTTAATGATCAGTTTCATTATTTTGCAAGTTTGCGATGTAAGACACAATGAGAATGGAATTACGATTAGTTACTTCAGGAAGTCAATAACTTGTGATTAAAGTAACAGTATATAAACAGCTCACAGATTTTGTCCCTAGTACAGGTTTTTTGCTGAGGATTTATTGGTTTTGAGCTATTTTAAACTTGGCAGGGATTTTAATGTACATGACACTAAAGCAACTTGCATTTAGTCCTAGAAAGTGCCAAAATCAGTCACACTACTGGTTCTGTCTGTTGTGGATACTTCTATGAAACAGTAATTTAGTATGTATATTTTGTTTATCCTATGCATCAACTCCACTTACAGAATTATGGAATCTAAATTCTTCTGAAAACCCTTTTACTGTTGGAATGCTAAACTAATTTTAAGTCCTGTTTGTTTAGCTTCTAGAAACATGCTTTATATCTAGTTTTTTGTTTTAACCTATTGGAAAGTTGATATATTTCCTGTGATTTGTTAAGCTCTGGAAAATTTAATTTTATCTTTGTCCACCTTCTGAAAAACTGAGTCTGAACAGATTAATAAACAGTTTTTATTAAACCTGCTGTAGTCTTCTTCTGAGCACTCTCTCGTATGTCCTTTTTCTTCACAATATTTGTTTATTCCTCATTTGATATTATCTTGGTTTCTATCCCCAGCTAATGTCTGGGGTTTCCTGGTTCTTGCCTTGTATGACTCTCCGTTTTCCTGCTCATTTAGTTTAGTATGGAATGCACAAGAGGCTAGAATTGGCTAAGTATCGATATCTTGGAGGGTTGAGGAATTGGAAGAGATTAGAGGTAGAGATGGACAATATCATGGAGGGATTTTAAAACAAGGATGATCATTTTAAACTTGACATTGGTTAGGAGGCGAGCCATGTCAGTCATTGAGTACTGTGGTAAAAAGGGAACAGGACTTGCTGTCAACACAGTGTGGAGCTGGAGGAGCACAGGTCAGGCAGCATCAGAGGAGTAGGAAAGTCGGCGTTTTGGGTCGGGACCCTTCTGCAGAACTTACTGTTGAGTTAAGACACTGCAGTGGAATTGTGGATGTACTCCAGTTTACAGAGGGTACGATGTGGGAGACTAACCAGGACTGCACAGACATAGTTGGATCTGGCAATAATGAAATGAAGGAAGAGTGTTTCAGCAGTAGATGATTTGAGATGGGTAAAATGAAATTGCATTGCAGAGGTGGAACTAGATAGTCCCAATGATGGCGCAGTTATGGCATAGTTCATCTCATTTCATCTGTGACGCCAAAGTTGTGATTAGACTGGTTAAATCTCTGATGCTGGGAAGAGAGAATTTGGAGTAGGGGCTGAAAACAATGGCTACAGTCTACCCATATTAAAGGAAATTTCTCCTCTTCCAGTGCTAGACGTTGGATAGTCTGACAAATTAACAACATTTGAAGGAGTTAAGAGAAATGGCTGAAGTTTGTAGAAATTGAAAATTCTGGTCAATTTCATTCTCTTACATTGCCCTAAAATTGGCCTTTGAAACGTATATACTTGTGGGTCTCAACTATTCATTTAATACAGAGTATGCCATATTTAGATGCATATATCGCTGTGGTCCGGGGCTACTGCTTCTCCATAAAGCCAAATAGTAAGGGAGCTTGCAGAGCCATGAAACATGACTTGTACACAAACTTCCAAAGAACTAGACATGGTGAGTTGCACGTTCCTGTTGGTGAAAGGGATAAGTTTGTCAATTCTACATCCTCTTGGTTATGGGTACTGTAATCTTTTAGAGGGTTGTCCCACAAGCTAGTCAAGCAAAGACTTGACATAGCCATACCTTACCACACCTGAAATACCTTCATTACTGTATCTGCATATGTCCTGTTCTAGTGACAGGACAGGCCCACTAGAGGTGGCAGTAGAGTGGAATACAGCCACAGGGAGTTGCCCTAGCATTGGCTGACATATAGTTTTTTATTCTTAGGTAAAGTATCACAGGGTATGGAGTGAAAGCTAGAGGAGGGTTTTGAGTTGGATGATCAACTATGATCATGTTGAATGGTGGAGAAGGTTCAAAAAGCCGAATGGCCTATTTCTGTTCCTACTTTTGTGTTTCAGTGCTAAATCTGATTACCTCACGTCAAACATGAGAGGGAAAAAAACTTCCTGCTGATTATCACTGATCACCTTCCCCCATACATTTGAAAGAAGCACAGAGGGAGAAGAGAACACAGAATGTACTCTGGGTGGAGCGTGGGGAGGGGGCTCAATGTTCAAGGGTGCATCAGCATCACTACTGACCAAACTGGCTGAGTCCTGAATGACCTATTTGCCTGACTAAGCAAGCCAGTGAGGGAAAAATCTACTTGAACGTGTTCTTACCTTTTGACCTATTGAAGATGGATCTGTCCATGGCAATATTAGTAGGAGTCACAACCATACAATCCCATCTTCACATTGCAGATGCCTCCATTGTGTTGTGTGGTACTAGCACCATGATGAATGGGATGGATTCATATAAAAGATTTAGCAATGCATTCATAGGGCCCTGTGAACATCAGCAACAGAATCATATTCAAACACAATCCATCACTCTACTATTAAATGGTTCACTGAAGGGTGCCGATGAGCTTGCCAGAAGTGAAACCAGGCATACCTAAAAATGAGGTGTTGACTTGAATTTACAACACAGGATTACTTGCATTTCAAACAGCAAAAGCAGCATTTGATAGAACTGAACTCCACTGATAAAAGGATCCATAAAGTTCTGTGGTTCCACCACATCTAGTCGTGATGACAACCGACAATATGAGTACTTAACTGCACAAGGAGACTCCACATAGATCATGATCCTCAATGAATGGGGAAGCCAGTACATCAGTACAAAAGACAAGGCTGAAGCATTTTGAGTCAGAGGTGCTGAGTGGATGATCCATCCCAGCTACTGCCTCAAATTATCAATATTGCAGATGCTAGTTTCCAGTCAAACTATAGTGAGTGGAAATCAGTGGGGGTGGAAGAGGAGAACAAGTTCTAGTTGGACACACATACCTAGCATAAAGATGGATGGGTGTGGTTGCTGGAGGCCAGTCATTCTCAGTCCCAAAACGTTGCTGCCGGAATTCATAGTGACTTGGGCCCAACCATTTTTTTAGATGCTTCATAAATTATCATCCCTCCATCACAAGATCAGTGGTGGGAATATTTGCTGATGATTCAATATTTTCAGTATCACTTGGCAATGTTCATTATCATTCCTACCCACAATGCGTCATCATATGCTGCGAGACCTGGACGACATTGTTTTTCCCGAAAAAAATACGAGGCAACTACTATGTCAAAGAATTTTAAAATCTTACATAATTTTAACGTGGCAAATTGAAAGAAATTGATAGGTGTGAACTGGGGTGAAAGAGCAAATGTAAATCTAAATGCTCCTAAATTATCTGTCTGAAAACTAAATGAAGAAGCTTGAGGAAGAAAGTAACATTTTGATCACTTTGATTTGCATTTTGATTTGCTAAAATCTTGAGATAATAGAGCCAACATTTTTGGAAATAACATTTGGAATGAGTTGGTCATTAGAATTTGCCAATAAGTTGTTGTGATTTTTTTAAAAAAATACTCGATCTGAATGATAGTTTGTTGCCAAAGGAGCGATTGTGGGACACCCATCTGCAATGTATTTACCTTATCTAATGAATGATTGATGTGTGATGTGGTGTCTGAAAGGTTTACACAATGCTACTAAAGTTAATGTGCATTTTTTATCAAATCTTAAATGTTTGAAGGGTTGAATGTTCTACGTTTGGCCGCGAATTTCAGTCGTTAACTAATTAATTCAGTCAAATGAACAAAATTGTTTGTGTGTTAGGTATTGTCAGTTTGCTTGGGGAATTGTATAAGACTGACATTTAGGCAATCTGTGCCCGAGACCAGGTCAATTACGATGGCTTTTGGTCATCATATACTTATTGGGATAATTTTTGAAGATTCATGTTTAGAATTCGAGGCAAAATTGCTAATGATTAAAATTTATTCTTGTTCTATCTTACTGTCCCAAATCCTACTCAAAATACTTTATGTCGATGTACTGGATTGTTGCAGACTGATTTGAGATGACAAAAGCCAGTGCTCATCTCTCTTGATGACAGCTGGTGTTCAGGCACAACGAGTGCCAGGAAATAATTTTAATAGTGCCCTTGTGTATGGAAAACTTGAGGCAATTCTTCTCTAAATCAGTAATCTGTAACATCCTATATTCTGTCCACCAAAATTGAATAATTTATTGGACAAGCTGTCAAATTGAACAGTCCCAGTAGTACACTCCTGGTAGTCTCACTGTTGAATTGTTTCAAACAGTTGCTGCTAACAATTAGTTTCTTATTTGTAATGTAACTTGTGCTCAATTATAACTAATCGCTTGTTTCTGGAATTGTTTTCTCTCGTAGGATTGAAGTGTTTCTGCTCCCACTGTGTTGCAACTAACTACACCTGTGAGACAGATGGTCTCTGTGTGACCACTGTCACTCGCTCAGGCAATCAAATAGCGCGCAACAAAATGTGTGTCTCGAGTGTTGACCTTATACCTCCTGATAGACCGTTCCTTTGTGCTCCATCTACAAGTGGTGCTGCATCGAGTAATTGTTGTAATAAGGATTTTTGCAACAACTATGATCTTCCTATGCCAACCAGGGGTAAGTTTCTGAATGGATATTTACATGGATTTTAGTGAATCTGTAATAGTAGACTAGACTAAAGTTAGGAAAAAGGTATGGAGTTAAAATGATCTAGAGTTTGTTGTTTTTACACAGGATATGCAAAGTCCTAATGAAAGGTAATTGACTTGAAACATTAACTTTGTATCTGTCTCAACAGATGTTGACTGAGTCTTTTCAATATTGTTTGTGCTTCAGTTTTCTCATATCTGCAGTCTTTTGCTTTTGCACTGAAGCTATCCAAGCAGTGAAATGAATGCATGCTAGAGTTCATTTCGACTCCGCCTCACCTTGCCTTTCCTCATCTAACCTCACTTTATTGTACATTTATCTAGCTTCCCCTTAAATGCATGTATACTATTGACTTTCACCCACTCCATGAGTAGCAAGTTGGATATCTGATCACTCGTTGAGTAAGGAGATTTCTTCTGAATTCCCAAATTGAATTCTTTGAAGACTATCATATATTGTTGGCCTCTGGTCTTGCATTTCCCCAAAAATGGAAACATTCTTTCTTTGAGTTTTCTTTTCATAATTTTACATAATACTGCATCATTCATCAGTACTTTTTCCTAAGAAATCCAGCTTGTTGTTCCTATCTTAATTTCTTTTCCCCCCCCGCCCCACATTTCAGGTATTATCCTTGTAAATCTTTGCATCCTCTTCAATGCGCCTTATCGTTTGATAGTATATCTACAAGAATTATACACAGTATGCCAGGTGTGAACTAACCAGTGTTAAATACAATGGTAACGTAACTGATTTTCAATTCTATTCCTCCAGAAATAACCAATTTTTTATTTATTTGTTTATGGCCTCCAACTTGGTATCACTTGGGAATTTAGAAGCTGTGTTTTTGATTTCAGTGTCCAAATCATGAATATGGTTTATGAGCAACAGTCTCCCAGCTGTCATCTTGTGGGCTTTCCAAAGCTGGTACCAAGATTTAATTGACATGATTTTTCTTTGTATTAGAGGTCCTTGTTAGCGAAATATTTTCAGGTTATTTTTACTTCTTAAATGTCTGTAAGCTAGGTTGCCTAAATAAATGGGGGCCATCTAGATGTGATCTCATTAACCAAGTTTGCAAGTTGTTAGCTAGGGTTGTTCTATCTAACCTTGCCCATTGAATCTTTTTCTTTATGATTGATGTATTTGACTAAACATTTATGGTGCATGAGTAGATTTGTTCAACATTTTGGCATGTTTTAACCCACCCAGTCTTAATATGACTCTACTATCATTTGATGCAATGACTGCCCAAAAATGTTCCAGTGATTACATACAATTGCCATATAGCTTGGTTTAGGAAAATCTTGCAGTAATCTTGGCAAAAATTATTCAAATTCTTTAGTCTTGCTAGATAATAATGTTACCAACTCCTCGCTTGATTGTTAATGAGATAGGAAAGAAGGTAACTGTTGCCTTAAATCCAATTCTTTGAGCTACCATGAGTAATTTCGAGAGACTCTTGCTTCCTTGGTTCAGAAGTTTACACAGAAATACTTCCTTTCTCGTCTTTAAATTGCAGGGAAAAAAAAACTAAGTTATTCTTTTGCAACCTTGAGCTCTGAACTTCATGCACTGAAGTGTGGAAAATACAGCAGCTCAGATGTAACTTTTGAAAAATAATGCTAATCAAGGGCATGCTAAAAAATGATCAATTACACTAAATGATTCAGTAGTGACCCATTGAATGGTCACAAGTTAAACTGATTTATTTTATACCATACCTCTGAGGGCTGTAGTTGGGAGTCTGCTTTAAGACTGAAATATGATATTAAAGCAATTTTGCAGCATTCCAGTTGGCCTCCTCCATTGAAAAATTGAAGCAGAGCAAAATATTATTCATGATGGCAACAATGTAGAATCAGTGTTTTCATGTCATGTGTTTAGCAAAAATAATGTATTTGCGTATAATTAGTGAAACAAATTATTTCTATACATTGCAAAGTCTAGCATTGTTCTGGCTTTTTAACTTTGTAATTCTGCTTGTGTATTATTCCTAGAGACTCCAGCAGAGCCTCCCTGGTTAAATTTGGGGCCTGTGGAATTGGCAGCAGTCATCGCTGGACCAGTTTGTGTGGTTTGCATTTTATTAATGGTGGCCTTCTACTACTTTCATAATCGTGCAGTAATTCACCATCGTGTTCCTCATGAAGAAGATCCAACTTTAGATCATCCTTTCATTTCCGAGGGTACCACTCTCAAAGATTTAATTTATGACATGACCACCTCAGGATCTGGTTCAGGTAAAAGTCCGCTTTTATATTATGAATAAAGTGGAAGGGAGGTGAAAACTGCAAAGGCTAGAAATCTGAACTAGGTGGAAATGTACTGCAAGTTATTAAGCATTGTGGGTGTAATTGTTCATTAGATATAGTATAAGTGTAAAATAGCCCACTTTTAGTTACGGTGTACTGTTATCTGTACGAAGCAAGTTATCCATCTTCCAGCTCAGTTTGTTTTGTATTTTTGTTTTGTTCCTTCCAATGAATGGCTCTGTTCAAATTTGATTCACTTGGTTTCTCTGCCTGGTGTGGCTGAACCTACTCAAAATATTTGGGACCGAACACATGTTGGACTCGAGGAAATTAAAGTGAAAACCCTAGCCAGGAATGACAATGGGGGAAGAATAGACAAGCGGACAATTGGTTTATTGAAAAATCAACATATTGGCTAATTATGGTGGTGGATACAAATAAAAATAATTTTAGCTCATGACATTGCTATAAAAATAATAAAGTATTTCTAATAAAATAGTAAAGGGTTCGCACAATTCTGATCATTTCAGCATACAAATAATATTGTACAATGATCCAATTCAGACTCCTGGAGGGCTTTGATGTCAATAAGGACATCAAAGACATGGTTGAGGAATCTTCGAGTAGGGTGGTAATTTCCAAAATAGTGGCAAATGGAAACAAAAGTTGAGCATTGGGAATATGCAAGTACAGTAGTTAGTAGCAACTTAAAGGTTTTATTTCTAGTGGTGGATGCAGAGGAATGGATTTAGAGACTTTTGAGTTGAGAATGGAACAAATTGCTTAGAGTTAGCTTTGTCAATGAGCAGGACTAAAGGAGTGGATAGTTCAAGGAGAAAGTGAGTTTGAGGAATGGCCACAAATGTAGGAGAACACTGATACTTGTCACTTTAGTATGAAAGGAGCTGGCATTCATTTGAAGCGAACTCCCCCAACAATTTTAACAGAGCAAGTAGCCAATTTTCTTGGAAGTCAACATTTCAAAAACTAGTACAAATAATAATTCTGTAATGCTTTAAGTATTGCATTTGAATTCGGGCTTTGAAGTATTTTAATTTAAATGTACACCATTCTTTTGTAGTTGTGTATTATATTTTGAACTACATTTATTATATGCTAAATTAATTCCAAAACCGTTACATGGATTATGAATTGTCGTTGGACTAAGAAATAAGAGACAGATGTGTTAGATGTAACAAATATTCACTCGTGAGCTAGATCAAAAAAAGCAAATGAATTGATGCAATTGTAACTTAGTCTGTTCTGTTAACTGATTACTAATTGATTAATCCTCTCAATATTTTAGGGCTGCCATTGCTTGTACAAAGGACAATTGCCAGAACAATTGTACTGCAAGAAAGTATAGGTAAAGGCCGGTTTGGAGAAGTCTGGCGAGGGAAGTGGCGAGGTGAAGAAGTTGCAGTAAAAATTTTCTCTTCTCGTGAAGAAAGGTCATGGTTTCGTGAAGCTGAAATTTACCAGACTGTGATGTTGCGCCATGAAAATATTCTTGGATTTATTGCAGCAGATAACAAAGGTGACAAACTACATTCATTTGTAGTGCTAATACTGGATTAATAAGTTATGTTGCCCATGACTTTTCTGTATCTGGTGATTTTTTTTTTCCTCAAATATCAAGCCATTAGTTTGAGAGCATGTGTATTTTAACTTGATATTCCTACAATTTGAAATGAAGTAAATCTTAGCCAACTCTTGGATATTGCTGTGTGACTGACTAAAGACAAAGCCCCAGGGTTTTCAATGAGAGGGTGGTTGAGCAGCACTGGATAGTATTTTGAGAGTCATAGCAGTATATGTAACAGGGAAGTTCCTCCAGTTCTAAATACTTTGCAGACAACAGACCAATAATTTGAGGCAGAAGAGGCCGGTGGTCCATGTTGCTACCTCTCTAAAGTACTCCCTTGGTAAGTTGCTAATAACACTGAATTTCATTTATTGACAGAAACCTGTTCAGTTCATTGGAATCCATTAAGACTTCTTGTTATACAAAGTATTTTTTTTATATGGGATAGTAGTATCCTGGCAAGGCCAATACCTTTTGAGGAAGTGACCAAGTGTGTCAATGATACAGCAGTTGATATTGTTTATATGGACTTATATATCATAGTTTACATACATTTCAGCAAAGCCTTTGACAAGGTCCCAAATGGGATCTAGGGTAAGTTGGATGCATTATTAGGCAGGGGACAGAGGGTGATTTAAAAAGGCTGTTTTTGTGACTGGAGCCCAATGTGCAGTGGTGTACCACTGGGTCAGCGCTGAGTACCTTGTTATGTTCATAAATGTAGATGGAGGGGTAACTAAGTTTTCCTGGATGAAGATTGCCTGGATGGTTGACACTGAGGTGGAGAGGGTCTTGGGCTACAGGAACATATAAATGGATTAGTCAGATAGGCAAATCAGTGGCAGATGGAATTTAACTCAAATGTGAGATGATGCACTTTGGAAGAAGTAACAAGACAAGGGAGTACTCGATGAACAATAAGACTATAGGAAGCTCAGAGGAACGGCGGGATCTTAGGGTGCCTATTCACGATCCCTGAAAATGGCAGGGTGCGTTAATAGGGTAGTTAAGACAGCATATGGGATGCTTGTCTTTATGGGTTAAGGCATGGATTATAAGAGTATGTTGAAGCTGTGTAGAACTTTGGTTAGGCTACAGTTGGAATACAGTGTGCACTTCTTGTCACCACACTGTAGGAAGAATGTGAAAGCTATGGAGGGGGTGCAGAGAAGATTCACCAGGATTTTGCCTGGGATGGAGCAGCTCAGCTGTGAAGAGAGGGTTGTTTTCTTTGGGGGCAGACAAGTTTGAGGGGGGACCCTGACGGGTATATAAGATTGAGGGTTGTGGGCAGGGTGAATAGAAAGCAGCTGTACCCCTTAGACATAAGGTCAAGAACAAGGGGAAAAATTTTGAGGCGAAAGGCAGGAGGTTTAAAGGGGATTTGAGGAAAAAATATTTTCAACCAGATGTTGATAGGAGTCTGAAGTGCACTGTCTGGCAGGGTAGTTGAGGTGGGTAACCTGTCAACTTTTAAATAGTACTTGAAGTGTCATAACATTCAAGGCTATGGGCCTTGTATGAGAAAGTAGCACTAGTGTAGGTAGTCCTGTATTTTTGTTGGTGCAGACTTGATGGGTCGAAAGGCCTCTACTGTATGATTCTACCTACTACCCATCCTTAATTTCGCTTGAGAAGGATGCAACAAGCATCAGCCTTAGGCCACAGTAGTCCATCTCTTGTAGGAGCACTAACGTGATGATGGGGCATAGTTCCAGGATTTTGATCCAGTGACCTATTAATGATGTAGTTCCAAGTGACGATTGTATGTGGCTGAGAGGAGAACCTATCTGCTAGGGGTAAGTGGCTGATGGAGGTATGGATTGTATAAGATTAAAGGAAAAGATTTTACAAAGTGGCCAGAAATAATAATAAATCTGAGGATTGAGAAGCTTTTAGAATGCAGTAAATGAGGACTACGAAACTGATCAGAAAAGGAAAAATAGAATATGAATGCAATCTAGCTAAAAACATAACATTGAACTCAGGCTATGTTTAAGAACATGGGATTGAGATGTCATAGCTATTACAGAAACTTGGCTGAGAGATGGACAAGACTGGCAGCTCAATGTTCCCAGTTTTATATGCTGTAGGAAGGATAGAAAAGGAGGCAGGAAAGCTAGAGGGTGGCATTTTTGATTTAAGGAGTACATTACTGCTGTAACCAGGGAAGATATTTCTGAAAAATTGTCCAGTGAAAATACATTGATAGAAATTACAGATAAGAAAGGAAAGATCACTTTGACAGGATTGTACTGTAGGCCCCCCCCAGTAGTAAGAGAGAAATCGAGAAACAAATATGTAGGGAGATCTCAGATATACACAAGTATAATAAAGTTGTAATAATGGGGGATTTTAATTTTCCAAACATTGACTGGGACTATCGTAGTGTTAAAGGTTTGGATGATGAAGAATTTGTCAAATGTGCTCAAGAAAATTTTCTGTATCACTATGTAGATGCTCCTACTAGAAAAGGAGCAAATCTAGACCTTCTTTTGGGTGATAAGGCAGGGCAGGTGACTGAAGTAGAGGCGGGGGCACACTGTGGCTGTAGTGATTGTAATTCTACTAGTTTCAAAATGGGTATAGAAAAGCTAAGCCCTCCATAAAAGTTAAAGTTTTTAATTGGAGTAAGGCCAATTTTAATGGTATGAGACAACTTTCAAAAGTTGATTGGAGCAGACTGTTTGCAGGTAAAAGGACGTTTGACAAGTGGGAGATGTTCAAGAGTGTAATGACGAGTTCATAGGTATTTTGTTCCTGTTAGAGTGAAGGGTAAGGCTGGTAAGATTAAGGAACAATGAATAAACAAAGATATTGAGGTTCTAGTCAAGAATAAAAGAGAACTTTTTTTTAAGATATAGACAACTTGGTTCAATTGAATCTCTTAATCACTGTAAAGAGTGTAGGGGCATTCTTAAGAGAGAAACCAGGAAGGCAAACGGGATATGAGATAACATTGGCAGATAAGGTTGAAGATAATCAAAGATTATACAAATATATTAAGAGCAAGAGGCCCAACCCCCTCTCTAGTTAAGCCCTTAAAGATCATGGAGGTCATCTTTTTGTTGAACCCTAGGAGATGGGAGAGATACTAAATGAATATTTCATGTCAGTTTTTTCTGTGGAGAAAGAAATGGCGTCTAAAGAATGCAGAGAAATAAACTTGGATGTTTTAAAAACTGTTCACATTACAGAAGAGGAAGTTTGGGAGATCTTAAAGAATATAAAGGTGGATAAATGTCCAGGACCTGATCAAATGTATCCCAGAATGTTGTGGGAAGTAAGGGAGGAAATTACGAGACCCCTTCCAGAAATATCTCTAACTACGGGTGAGGTACCTGATGACTGGAGGGTGGATAATGATGTACCTTTGTTTAAGAAAGGTTGTAAGGAGAAACTGGGGAACCATAGACCTGTGAGTCTGACTTTGGTTGTGGGTAAACTGTTGGTGATTATAACAGATGATAGGATTTATGGACATTTAGAGAGGCAAAACTTGATCAGGGATAGTCAGCACGGTTTTGTGTGAGGAAAATAGTGTCTCTCAAACTTGATTGAGTTTTTTGAGGAAGTTACCAAAAAGATTGATGATGACAGAGCAGTATATGTTGTTTATTTGGATTTTAGTAAAGCCTTGGACAAGGTTCCGCATGGTACACTTAATAGTAAAATTAGATCACATGGGATTTAGGGTGAGCTTGATAGTTGCTTACATAATTGGCTTAACGGCAGGAGACAGAGATTAATGGTGGAGGGTTGCTTTTTGGACTGGAGGCATGTGACCAGCAGTGTTCCATAGAGATCGGTTCTAGATCCTCTCTTGTTTGTCATTTATATAAATGATTTGAATGAGAACATAGAAGACATGATTAGTAAGTTTGCGGACGATACCAAAATTGGTGGCTGGTAGACAGTGAAGGAGGTTTTCTAAGATCACAAAGGGATCTTCTTAAAATTGGTCAGTGGGCTTAAAATTGGCATGTTGAGTTTAATATGGATAAATGCGAGATATTGCATTTTGGTACAACAAACAAGGGTAGGGCTTATACAATTAATGGTAAGGCCTTGGGTAGTGATGTTTAACAGAGGGTCCTAGGGGTGCAGGTACATAATTCTTTAAAGTTTCTTTCAAATATAGAGACTGGATGGTTAAAAAAGGTGTTTAGCACACTTGCATTCATTGTTCAGTCCTTTTGAGTATAGGAGTTGGGACGTTATGTTGAGGTTGTACAGCACATAGGTGAGGCCTCTTCTTGAATACTGTGTCCAGTTCCGGTCTCCCGGTTATAGGAAGGATCTTATCAAGCTGGAGACGTTTCAGATGAGATTTATGAGGCTGATGCTGGGTATGGAAGGTTTGAATTATAAGGAAAGGCTAGATAGACTGGGAATCTTTTTCACTGGAGCATAGGTGATTGAGAGGTGACCTGATAGAAGTTTATAAAATAATGAGAAGTATAGTATTGATGGTAGTTGTCTTTTCCTAAGATGGGGAATTTCAACACTAGGGGCACATTTTTAAGGTGAGACAAGAACGATTTAAAAAAGACATGAGACAAATTTTTTACACAGGGTTGTTCATGTATGGAATGAACTTCCTGCTGTAGTGGTGGATGTGGGTACAATTACAATGTTTAAAAGACATTTGAATGGATATACGAAAATAAAAGGTTTGGAGGTATATGAGCCAGGTGCAGGCAGGTGGGACTTATTTAGTTTGGGATTATGTTTGGCATGGACTGAAGGGTCTGTTTCTGTGCTGTGTGACTCTATGGACTGCATTAGCTTCTAAAGGTATGTAAAAAGGAAACATTACAAGCAGAGTCAGGAGAATTTGTAATTTGGAATAGCAAAATTGCAGGGAAGCTAAATGATCTGAGTAGGAAGAATGAAGCATTTAAGGAAATTAATATTATTAAGACGGTTGTACTTGAGAAATTAATGGGACTGAAATTTGGTAATCCCTTGGGGTTCAAGGCCAGTGTTCTAAGGTCATGGGTTTACATCACAGCATGGAAATGGTGAAATCTGAATTTTGTGGAAATCTTGAACAAAAAGCTAGTCTAATGGTAACCATGTAACCTTTGTCGATTTGTTGTTTTTAGTGAACCAGACAGTTTTTTTAATGTCCTATTTTAAGAAAAGGAAATACAAAAGATTTAAGTCTTCTTTTAAGAAAGAGATCTGCCATCCTTCTTTGGTCTGGCCTGAATGTAACTCCAGACCCACAGCAACATGGCTGACTCTTAGAAACAAAAATAGAGATTGCTGGAAAAGCTCAGCAGGTCTCGCAGCACCTGTGAAGAGAAATCAGAGTTAACATTTTGGGTCCAGTGACCCTTCCTCAGAACAGTTCTGGACCCGAAACATTAACTCTGATTTCTCTTTACAGGCGCAGCCAGATCTGCTGAGCTTTTCCAGCAGTCTCCATTTTTGTTTCTGATTTACAGCACCCACAGTTCCTTCGGTTTTCATGGTTCACTCTTAACTGTACTCCAGGCAATTAGGATGATTGTGGTTGTTGGGGATCAGTCACTTCAGCCTTAGGACATCACTATGGGAATTTTTCAGGGTAGTGCCCTAGGTTCAGCCATCTTAAGCTACTTCATCAATGATCTTCCCTCCATCAAAATCCAGAGCTGAGACATTCATGCTGTGGAAGTGCAAGGCAATAACTGTCTGTGACAAGGGAGAATCTAACCATCTCCCATTGATGTTCAATGATATTGCCATCACCGAAGCCCCTACTATTGACACTCATTGACCGGAAACTGGACTGAAGAAACTGTATAAACACACTCGCTACAAAAGCAAGTCAGAGATGGGAATTCTGCAGCAAGTAATTCACTACCACCTCCTCAAAACCTGTCCATGATTGAAAAACCTACAAGTATGAGGGAATAATCTCCACTTGCCTGGATCAGTGCATTTTCAACATTGCTTGAAGCGCAACACCATTCTGACCAAAGCATTCCATCTAACACCATCAATGTTCATTTCCTCCAACATATACGCCCATGCACACATGCATGCAGTGACAGCAGTATGTACCACCTACAAAGTGCATTGTAAGATAGTACCTTGCAAACAGTGATCTATACCAACTAGAAGGTCAAGGACAGGGCAGGTATGTGGAAACGCTACTATTGGCACTATTCCCTCCAAGCTATAAGCCATTTTAACTTAGAAATATATTGTCTTTCCTTTGTTTGGAGTGGGGGAACAAAATCAATGGCTTAATTCTTCTGAAAATAAGTATATAGGTGCAACAGGTGGTGCAGGTGGTGAAGGTGGTAGATGGTCCCATTACCTTCATAGTGAAAGGATTTGTATACAAGAGCAAGGATATTTTAACTTTAATTGCCCAGGGTCTTGATGAGGTCACACCCAGAGTATTGTGTGCAGTTTTGTTGGTTGAATGCGAAGAAGAATGTTGTAGCTAAGGAGGGGCTACAATGATAGTTTGCTGGAATAATGTATGAAGAGACAGACTGGATTGGTTAGGACTACATTCTCTGGAATTTAGAACGATGAGGATTTCATTGAAAACATTCACCAGATATTGCGAACAGGGTTGAATGATCAGCTATGAATCATGAAAAGCAGAGCAGGCTTGAAGGACTGAATGGCCTATCCCTGCTCCCATTTTGTTTTTTCCCAATATTTTATCAGAGAAAGTTTCAGCATTGAATATCTGAATAGTCTAGGTTTGGAGAGACAGTGGTGAATTGAGCTTAGTATCGTTAGCGCACAAGTGGAAATGAATACTGAGATCAGATGGTGTCACTGAAGGGCAGCATGTAGATTAGAAATAGGACATCATTTCAAATTTTTCACAATTGCACTTTTTATCTACTATATTTTTGTTTGAATTGTCACATGCTGGCACTGGGTTTCAGTGAGTTGTTTCTTTTTTTAAAAATATCAATCATTGTAATCAGAACCTGAGCTGGTTTTTAATGAGACCATAAACTTGAATTGATGAATGCAGTTTCTGAAGTATTAAGTCCTGGAATCTTCGTAAGTAAAAACAGAGATGAACTCATTTAATTACTTTAAACCAGCAGCTTTTTATTGGTACACAGACAAGATTGCACAATCTGATCCCTAATGTAACTGAGAATGTCCTTGAGTCTCTCAGCATACGACTTATTCAGTTGCTATAAACCTGTAGCTGTGATCGTAAAGATTTTGTGTCAGTGAGTTGTGGCTAGACCAAATTATCACATTGCAGCTTGAATCTTGAATCTTACCAGATGATCAAAATTGAGTTTATTTTCCCCAACAGTCCAAAACTTGCTCATCATTTTTTCACGAAACTTGAGAGATTTAACTATGGGTGTACCTTACATTTAATTCTGATTTTAGATGCTGCATACAAATTAAATACAAGTAAAATAAATAAGAAGATCAAAATCAAGACTGTAGGGTGAGAAGTGAGAGAAATCACTGGGGAGCAAACATAACCATCAAGAAGTCAAAAAAAAAGCACAACTGTGTAACGGTAAGAAACTGGTGAGGATTAGGGTAAAAAGGAATGATCTTTTAAAGATGCAACAGAGTTGAAACTGAGAATCAAATAAAATTGGTTGCTAATTGTTACTATTTAGCAGTACAGACAGTACACTGCAACGGGACTTGGACTGAATTGGATGTAGGGAGCAATGACTAATCATTCAACATTGAACGAAATTGGAGCTCACTTTGAGATGGTCTTTAAACTATCCAGCAGTTGAAGGAAAACCTGTTGGTGTAGATTCAGTGCTATCATGATCAATCTTGCAACACAGCAACCAGTAAAACAAATAGAATATTGAGCTGCATCATCAAATTAGAGCATTGGCCAAAGGCAGTCATGCTGAAGCTCTACAGTACACTGGTTAGGCCAAGCTGTGTGACTACTGTGATCAGTTTTAGTCACCAAAGGAAATAACTGAATTTTAGATCTAAAGAAAAGGACCATGAAACCCAGAGTGAGAAGGATGTGTGCATGAGGAAAGACTTGAAAATACTCTTGTGCATTAAAAGAAAGCAACTTCTAAAGAAATATATAACATAGCAACTAGAATGGAAACAGAGAATTCTAGTGAAGGATTTTAAATTCAAACCTGACGTGAATGCAGGGACATTAGAAATTGTTAAAAAGACTAGCTAAGAATTGTTAATGAGGGGTACTTCATGCAAATAATGCCCAATGATTCCAAAGAACAGGTAAAAACCCTAGACTTGTTCAAGATGTTTAGATGAGGTAGTGAGAGAAATTAAATTCCTTTGTGGAAGGATATTCTGAACTGATTTTATTTACCTCTGCTTAATTTTATGAAATGTTTTAGTCTTGTACAAAACTGATTTTGGGTATCTATTCAAAAGTTGCCATAGTCCTAGCAGACTGTAGAGTTTCTCTCTCATTATAGAGAGACAACTGGTAGTGGTTTATTTAGAGGGCAGCACACATGAGGCAAGGGCAGAGGTTGAGAAGGAGAGTCCTTCATGATCACCTCAGCCCGTGCAATAATTTAACACTCATTGTTGATGTTACTCTTTATTACAAACCAGCCATCCAGCCAACTGAGCTGACTGACCCTCTTTGTATACGCTAATTGTATTAAAATTAAGTTCTGCCAAGTCACAATTACATGCTGTTACCTTGGTGATGCTCTCTTTAGATAATATCATTTTGTTTCCTTTTGTCTTCAGACAACGGGACCTGGACACAGTTATGGCTGGTATCAGATTATCACGAACATGGCTCCCTGTTTGACTACTTGAACAGGTACACCATTACTGTGGAAGGAATGATTAAACTGGCACTTTCCACAGCCAGTGGACTTGCACATTTGCATATGGAAATTGTTGGTACACAAGGTAAGGCTGTGAATTTGCACTTGTTACCTTTTTATGTGATACAAAATAGTGCCAGGATTTCTAAGAACAAATTGTCTATTCTGTTTAAAAGTGCCAGTAAACAAACTGAGCGCACATTTTTTTTTAAAAAGTCATCAGTAGTTACTTTGTGTATTTGAAGTACAATCAGAATTTCAGGCAATGATTTAAGAGCATTAAATTCGTGATATATGGAAGTTGCTTTTGTAAACTTGCATATTTACATGAAATACCCCTTGTTAACAATTCTTAGCTGGTCTTCTTAACAATTTCTAATCATGTCCCTGCATTCATGTCAGGTTTGAACTTAAAATCTTTGACTAGAATTCTCCTTTTCCATTCTAGTTACTTATTTCTTTATAAGTTGTCCTCTGGTGGCGTAATAAATACCATCTATGTAGAACAAGCATAATGTTGACCAGAAGCTTGCAGTTTTTTAAAAATTGATTGCACTCCAATTTGAATACCATTCCTTTCCACAGGAAAACCTGCTATTGCTCACAGAGATCTGAAATCGAAAAACATTCTAGTAAAGAAGAATGGAACATGCTGCATTGCAGATTTAGGATTGGCAGTAAGGCATGATTCAGCCACAGATACGATTGATATTGCTCCAAATCATAGAGTGGGCACAAAAAGGTAATGCACACGTAGATGTGGCAATGTTTCCATTTGTGAAATAACTAGTTAGTATTCGATCTTCCCAGGTTTGAAGTCTTATTTTGGAGATGTCTTACCATGAAGAGTGCTGTTTTCCTCCTGATATTTCACTTCAGTTAAACTATAGATCTGTTTTTTAAAAAAATAAAACAGGTGTTTTTCCTATGGGATTGTTGCAGTAGTTGGGGGACAAAGTATGTGGGTTCTTTTGGTGCAGTATTTTATGCTTTCCTCTCTCCTTGTGCACAACTATTTGATAGTTGTGTCTTTATCCTTTTTAGACTCAAGTTGTGGACTTTCCTTATTGTATCCCTCAAGTTTTAAAACCTACCTTTTTGAAAAAGCTTATAGTATCACCTCCCAATGTTTCCTTTCCCAATGTTTTGGTTCTGATGATATTTAACTGAGTAGACTCCTGTGAAGCATCATTGAATGCTTTGACGCACTACTTCACTACTACTTGGAATGTACTCAATCCATATTTTATCAATTTCTTATGTAAATATCTGATCTGTTTTGTGTTGTTATTTCTAATCTCAATTAGGTCCTCTTCAATCTCACTGAAATTCACTTTCCTAGTCCTACTCCCTTTATCTTCAAACTTTGTTATATTTGTTTGAACTAATTAAGTTATGGTCTCTGTGTCCCACCCTATTTAACATTCAGGACACATTCTGTTATCCAGAATCAAATTGAACAGTCCTAGGAATGGGATCAAATGTACAATGTGTTGCAGTGCATATTCATACATCTCCCTGATTGATCTAGCTCTTGTAGTTGAAATTGGTGATGAAATTGCTACTTCTAAAATTATCTTATCCTCAGAGCTCATTTGTTAGTCTTCAGTGCTGTTCTTTGCTTTGTAATTAGTATTAACATGAGTCACAAGTTTTAAATCTTGTTCTTCATGCTTAATTGTTCCTTGATGATGCGGTTGTTTTCTACCTTGTCAACGTCCTTGTGCACATCAAGATGTGATGCACCCAACCATTAACTTTTAAAGTGCATCTTACAAAGTAACCACGTGAAACCCTAACAATTATATCAGAATTGAGAGAAAGTGAATTGCTTGATTTTTAAACAACTGATCTCCATTTAAGTATTTTTTTAAACAGGTACATGGCTCCAGAAGTCCTTGATGATTCTATAAACATGAAACATTTTGAGTCTTTTAAAAGGGCGGACATCTATGCTATGGGCTTGGTATTCTGGGAAATTGCACGGAGATGTTCAGTGGGTGGTAAGTAAAACATTCCACACATTTTCTTGAAAATGCTGCTACAGTTTACATTGCGGAATGCTACTTGGAGGAGAATAGAGGGACCTTTACTCTGCAACTCAGCATGTTCATTTGCTGACAGTGGGTAACTAAAATGAGAAGTTCCCACTCCAGAAATTATCATTCCTCACCTTGAACAGAACGTAGACCCTAATAATGGAAAAGCGATATTTTTGGGAAAGGTTACTTTAGACTGGAAAGTAGCCACTGTAACTCTTCTATTCAAAAAGAGAGACAGGCAGAAAGCTGGAAACTACAGACCAATTAGCTTAACATCTGTCAAAGAAAATATTAGAAGCCAATTTTAAACAAGTTTTGACAGGACAGTTGGATAAATTGAAGGTAATCAGTCGGAGCAACATGGTTTTGTCAGTGATATTTTGTTTAACTAATTTTATTGAAGATCTTTGAAGAATTAACTTGTGCTGTAGATAAAAGGGGAACCAGTGAGTGCATTATATTTGGATTTCCAGAAGGTACTTAATAAAGTGCCACATCAAAGGTTATTTTGAAAAACAAAAGTTCATGGTGTAGAGGGTGACATATTGGCATGGATAGAAGATTGACTTCATAACAGGTAGTAGAGAGTAGCAACTAATGGATCATTTTCAAGCTGCGATGATGTCATGAGTGGTGTGCCACAGGAGTCAGTGCTGGGGTTCTCAAACTCCTTACAATTTATATAAATGATTTGGGTGAAGAGGTCCAAGAAATGGTAGCTAAATTTGCTGATGTCACAAACATCGGTAGGAAAGCAAGTTGTGAAGAGTACAAAGGGAGCCTACAAAGAGATGTAGAAATGTTAAATGAATGGTCAAAGATCTGGCAATAGACTACAATGTGGACAATTTCATACTTTCCCATTTTTCAGAAAGAATAAGGAAGAAGCATCTAAATGGTGAGAATTGCAGAGTTCTGAGATGTAGAAAGATCTGGGTGTCCCAGTGCATGAACCTCAATGTTAGTATGCAGATACAGCAAGTATTTAGGAAAACTAATAGAATGTTATGGATTATCGCAAGGATAATTTAATGCAAGACTAGGGAGGTTATGTTTCAGCTATACAGGGCATTGGTGAGTCCATATCTGGAGTAATGAGTACAGCACAGATTACCATACTTATGAAAGGATGTTAATACATTGAAGCAGCTCAGAGATGGTTCACTGGACTAATATTTGGAATAAATTGAAAAGCTAGACAACCTAGGCCTATATCCTCCGGAGTTAGAAGAATCAAGGGATAACTTAATTGAAACACATAAGATCGTGAGGGAACATTACTGGATGACTGATATAAGGATGTTTCCACTTGTGAGAGAATCTTGAACTAGGAGTTATGGTTTTAAAAATAAGGGGTCGTTGATTTAAAACACAGATGAGGATGCATTTTTCTCTGAGGATTGCGAGTTATTGGAATTCCCTGCCTCAAAAGGCAGATGCTGAATTTTTAAATATTTTTAATGCAGAAGTAGGTGGATTTTTAATTTACCAAGGGGATGAAAGATTACTGGGGATATGCTGTGGAGTTCAGATTAAAATCAGATCAGCATGATCTTACTGAATGGTGTAGCATGCCTGAAAATCTGAATGGCCTTGTTCATATTTTCAAGGTAATGGACTTGCTATTCTGTTTTACGTGTGCATGATGAATGATGGTGACATGCCTTTGGCAAGACACATTGAGAATTCGGATGTTTAAGACAGCCTTTGGTATGCGTGTAATGGCATAGTTTTTCCTGTTTATTTCCTTGCATTGTAATTTCTTCTGAAGTTTTTTAAAAAAAAAATCACTGTTCATATTCCACATCACCAATAAATTGTATTTTACTGGTGCTTTAGGTATTCATGAAGACTATCAGCTGCCTTACTATGACCTAGTACCATCAGACCCTTCAATTGAGGAAATGAGGAAAGTTGTGTGTGAACAGAAGCTAAGGCCAAACATTCCTAACCGGTGGCAAAGTTGTGAGGTAATTGTTGTGAACTTCAATTTATATTTAAGCTGTTAAGCATGTACTTGCAAGAATCAAGCATTCCATTGTTACAAGATCTAATTTGATTTCTCCTTTTTCCACTCTATAAAGAGAGGGAACAGAAATGCACCCAAAGGTGAAAGACATTTTGAAAATTATGATACTGTTTTGCTCAGCCTTTTTTCATATTACTACTGAAAGACCGTGAGAACAGCCTTGATTTTCTCCTGTCACTGACTTAATATTTTACATTAAATATTGGTTTTCTTCCCTGTAAATCTGGTTTCACAAAATTAGTTGTGATCCTACCTATGTTTGGTTTGATATCAAAAAAAATTTAAATTCCAGTGCTATAATTCGAAAGTTCTTAAAATTCTGCCACCTGAATTTTAAGGAAGCTCTAAAGAAATCTGTTGGAATTTCACTCGCTGGTTTCGTAGTTGGGATCCCTCATTCTGAATTCTAAGTATGTGTTGCTGCATATTCTTTTCTAAAATGTATCTCATTTTTGCCTGCTTCCACCTTGCACAATTCAGCCTTCTGTTTGAGCTTTGTTCCTTAAGACAGCAGCGGCTGTCTGTTGTCAGTTTAGCCAAATCTATTGTTTTTCTTCAATTTTGTTCTTCCTCAATTTATACTCCCATTTGGTTTACTTAAAAGAAGACCTGGAGAACCTGAAAAGCGTAATTTTAATGAGTGCCATAAAAACAGAAAATGCCGGAGATACTCTGTAGATCAAGAGACTAAAAGAACTGACTTGGGTCAATCATCTATGGGTGTAACCTCTGATCTTACAATTCCAGAAGGGCATGGGGACCTTCTTTCAATTTAGTGAATTTTAATCAAAACAATTAATATTAATACGATCCTCCTCTTTCTGCCATTGTCCTCGAGCATGGCTGCTTTTCTTGAATCTGCCAGTTTTAAGTGGGAGCTGCACTTTTTTTTATTGAATGAATGGATGGAATGGTAGTTGAGTGAATGGCGAAGGGAAATTGTTGAGAGAATCTGTACATGGAATTTTGAGAAACGTCCCTTAAACTTTGAAAGAGTTTTTTTTTTCTCTGGGCAGCAATGTGAAACCCTGGCCACTGCTGGCTAATATCATGCTTACTTAAAGAGGCTAGACAAATTGTCGTTAGACTAGGCATATGCAGTTTTGTTCCAGCCGCTTTGGCTTTTCTCAATACGAGAAACTTCTGTAAAATTCAACAGCAAGCTCAAAACAAATCTTGATGATGATACATAAATATAATACAACTACGTTGAAACTAGTTATTCAGCTCAAAATGAGGTACTCTCTTTACGGGAATTGCATTTGGCTTCACACTGACTTCAAATATTGTAGCTGAATTCCAGTAGTGCCAAATTTTTTCACTACTTGTGTGTATTTTTCATTGCCAGATATTTGACAATATCAGTAATAGCAGCTTTCCAGTATTTCACTGGACGTTAGATTTCATTGAAAATAAATCTGGAATTTGCAGGTAACCAGCAGCACAAAATTGATTCTCTGAGCAAGTTTCCTTTCTGGCCATAGAGATATTGTGAATAATAATCAGAATACTTTTGCTGTCTCCTGATTTAGTCACATTTCAGAAGCAATGTTGCTTGCAAGTCCTAAACCAAAGTTTTTCTTTCTATACCAAAGACAAAACCCCTATGTTGAAATGGTCTTCAAATCATTAACACCAATGGAAATTTCTTAATGATCAAGACTGCTTTCCTGTATCAAGATGATGGCTTAAGCCAAATAGAATGTGGCCTCACTTGCTTCTCTGTTCCCCTTCCATACATATGTTGCAGCATGAGATGTCTCTTGACCCTTGGACATGGTAGTAGGTGACGATGGACACAGTTCTTGGCATCTGGACAGATGTGAATTTCAAAGTTAATCATTCTTCGAAGCAATCTTCTACAATTCAGTGAATGCAGACAACACAGTATTATAACCTTTACGCTAAGGAGCAACTAAAATCTAAAGATTATGCTAAATAGTAAAACTTTTTATAATAGTGCATGAGTAATACCTTTTTATCATGTTCCAGTATTTTCTTTCCAACCTAGAACTATTTTTAGGTTATTGAAAGTTCATGTTGCTTTTATCTATGCTCATCATTGGTGCTTGGAAGTCAGCACTGAGAGAACATGTAATGATATCCGATTTATGAAACCTGTCAAGAAGATGTAGCTTTTTGTTTGACTGTTAACACTCACTTGAGGTTTGAATTTTGTTCTGAACAGCTGGTATCAGCTATTTAAACATGTAAGAATGTGATTTTAAGTTGCCTGTATTTGCAGAATTATTTAGTGTACCTTTTCAATTTGAACTATCCCATTTTACATTTGGTTTTAAAGTTAGACTGACTTCACACATAAGATTTGTCTCAGCTAGATGTCTGGAATGTTTACTTTCACCTGGCAATCCTCAATATATTCGCTGGTGTTCTTTCTCTCTTTTGGCCAAAAAAACGGAAAAGTACAGTACTAAATTTCAGTTCATAATATCTTGCTTACCTGGGGCCATTACGTTGCAAGGTTCCAACTGCGAATCTTTTCAGGCAGTTCCACTTGGTTTCTGTCAAGGCCCATTTTGAATAACTTGATCATCATCAGCCACAGCCAGTACCATGACCATAAGTCAGAAAGCCCTTTATTGACTTAATGGTGAGAATGTACATCTTTCTTGCAAAGTTTGTATTGCATCACATCTGTATTCCTCTCGTTTGTTTCCTCCTCGGGTTGGTTTGTTCATTTCAATAGATATTGAGTGAGTTATACATTAATTATGACCCCCATCTCCACTTCTGTCTTCCCCCATCATTCGACAACTGAAGTCTTTGTTTACACCTTTGGGCTTAAGATCAAGAATGCCATTAACAAAGGCAGTCTCACTTAGTCTTAGCCAGAACACTTGGCAAACTTCCTGCACAAGAGTTCCCTTTCTCATTTGGCATAAAAATGGGACAGTTTCTTGTCCAATTCATGCCTTATATTTCCTGGAATTAGTAATGCAGAAGAAGCCTTTTTATTTTCAGGCTAATTACATTTTGGAAAAAGTATTGATTTATTCGGAGTTGTTTGCTAAGACTCAGGGGCTTCGAATCCAGGTGCCTCCCAATTTTAATGTGGGATCAAATATAATGAAAAGACCAATGTTGAAAGTCCTGTTGACAGTTCCACAGGTACATTGGGGTAGCACACTGAAAATCAAGCCCCACTATTCCCAGAGTCATCACAAAAGTTAATGATATTTAAGTAGTACGTAGACATTCCAATTTATCTTATTTTCAGACCCAGGTTGATAGAAAGCATAGACAGATTTCGGTATATAACAAAAATTGCTATTATAAGTAATTAGACACTAACTGCAGATAATCAGTGATAACCTATTGGTATTTATAATCCCTATTATAAACTTCTCCTTACTTACTTACATTCAGATGCATACAAACAAAGACAAGTCAGACCTAGATAGGGATAAGAAAACAAAAGGACAGAGGTAAAGCTGGAAAAGCAGTTCAGTAGTCCTTTTTAACAAGATCTGTTGAGTTGGTTCTTGGTGATCAGAGAGTTTCTTCTCAGCTTTTGTTTTATGAATGCTTTCACTGGTTTGCAGAATGCATAGGGTGGCTGGTTCACTTAATAAAAGGTCTGTGATGTTTTAACAAACAGTTACTGCTAGCAGTAATTGCTGAAGGAAAGGTAAACTGGTTTTCTGCAGATTTAAAGTGGGATTTAACTGCTGACGAGGGAGACAGCTCCTGAGCTGCTGGAGATATGATCACTTCTCTTTGAATCTTGTTCTCAGCCCTATGCTGTTCAGTTACCTGAAACCAATTGCACAGCTCTTGGCAGATAAAAGGCTTTTGTCATTAACACCTAGTCACGAGTTCATGGATCAATCGACTTCTGTTACCCACCAAAGCTCCATCTGAAATATAGAACTCCTTGGCTCCATCTTGTCTGCATCCTAATCTTCAATTACTTCTTGTTAACCAGGTACTTAAATGATGCTTGCCAGAAGTGTCAGGTCACTTATTTTCAAAACACACAACACCCAGGCAAATGCAGGTTTAAAATTAGGTCTTTCTCATTTTGGCCCTAAATTTTAACTGCCACCTGCGGCACCCCCACTCCAAAAGAAAAATTAGAAAGATGTGGTATTTACAAGGTATCAATTAAAGGAGTGAATAGCAGAGAACAGTAAAGGTTATCCAGAGAACAGAATGTGTCTCGAAGAGGTGATTGAGGTAGTTGGCACTGCACTTTGGGATCACGAGAATGAAGGAAACTGTCTAAATCAAAGTGATCCTTGGTTCATCAGGAATACTCTAAGTATGGTGATAGAAGAATGGTAGAGCATAGGTGCTTATTTGAGGATGACACAACAGTGGAGCTTAGGATGTGTTCCAGTCAGGCTTGGAGTCTGAAGCCTTTAGGAGACAACTTGAGAAAGATTGTTAAAGTTGAGACCTCCACTGTTTGAGGAAAAACTTGCCTATCTTGAGAGGTAGCAGGAACTGCAGATGCTGGAGAATCTGAGATAACAAGGTGTAGAGCTGGATGAACACAGCAGGCCAAGCAGCATCAGAGGAGCAGGAAGGCTGACGTTTCGGGCCTAGACCCTTCTTCAGAAATGAAGAATTCTGAATGATTTCTGAAGAAGGATCTAGACCCGAAACGTCAGCCTTCCTGCTCCTCTGATGCTGCTTGGCCTGCTGTGTTCATCCAGCTCTACACCTTGTTATTTTGAGAGGTATCTGCACTCAACTACCTCGGCTCATCAACCTGAATTCAAGACATCGCTGTGTGAAGGCTGTACCTATACAGATGAAGCATCTAAGAGTGTGCTTAATTAAAATAATATTTGAGGTACTGATTTAAAAGTTGCTGTGAATCACTGACTTATGATGAGTATTGACCTGAATTGATTGTGACAAGTTATGTCAGTGTTTTAAATCTAAGATAAACATGCTTGTCTTACCAATATAGCCAATTTGTTATTATTGAGATTCGAAAAAAAGTGTTCGTGTCCCTTTTCACATTGAGGTTAATTGCAGTTTGGTCTACATCCACAAAACAACACCTGTCCTAATTCATTTATGAGTATGTGCACCTGCTTCATCTTGAAAATTCCTGTTGATTTTCTCCTTTGGATCAAAGAACTAAGGGAAGGTGTATGACTGTCTTTAATTTTAGAGGATGTTTGTGTTGAACTCACTTCATTTGAATATGTTTTTAATCATTCAGGAGATGTGGATGTTGCTGGCTGGCCCAGCATTTATTGCTGATTCCGAGTTGCCCTTGCATATTGTACATGGAAGGTTAATATACAGTCAACAAATGGAAAATTATAAGTAGTGTTAACCATTTGGTAACAACCCATGATCTATTCAATTACTGGGGAACATGAAGAAAAATGAATAAACTGAGTGGGAGCAACAAAACTTTTGGAAGTGATGGCTTGAAAGCTTTGAAGTTCAGTGAAGGTTCAGAAGGGGTTACAGGTTTATATTCGAATGTGCTTAACTTTGTTTTTTGACCACATTTCCTTTGACTTGGTCATCTCTAATCTTCACCTGTTCTTTAATATTTATGAAGTAGGAACTATACAGTTTGATTATGAGTAGTTAAGTTGATGGCAGTATTTTAGTTGAAACATGTTATAGATTTTGAAACTAAATGCAGCCTGCAGTTTTTTTGCTAACTGAAGTGTAAACCTATATTCTTATGTTTCAATCTCTTTGTAGGCTTTACGTGTAATGGCCAAAATCATGCGTGAATGTTGGTATGCCAATGGAGCAGCCAGATTAACTGCCCTGCGGATCAAGAAAACATTATCTCAGCTCAGTCAACAGGAAGGCATAAAAATGTAGAGACGCATGCAGTCCAGAGAAACAGTGGACAGAATGATAACTGTACTTGGATTGCAGTTTTCTGGAAGGGATTTTTGTTCTACCTCATTGAGGAAGCAGAAGTTGGATCACACTGCCTGTATCACCATAGAAACTGCACCAAATTTTATACACCGCATAGGAAATTTCCACCCTGCCTAGCTCTCTGTTATGGACATGCAGAGCTTAGGCCGTGAGGTCCACTCTGCATTGAACACCACCTTCCCAGGACATCAACGTGATATTATGTAGCTTAGTTTTTTTAATTAACCTTTAACTTGATAAACAGAGAAGTTTTATTATTGGTCTTAATTGTAGAAAAGCTGGAACACTTAAGCCTTTACCAACACTGCCCCGGTGTATTGGAAAAACTAATAATGGGGCTGGTCCCGCAAATGAATGAAATTTCAGTGCAAGATACAGTATTACGCATGATTGAAAGGTACTGTTCATCCAAGGTCTGTGCAGTAGTTTTACTGTTTAGGAATTCAACTATCAAATTATAATTTTGCCTTGCCCTTCTGTTATTTTTTTCACTTTGTGTGCTGAAGTCCTAGCTTTGAGTCAGGGATACTTTTCTCTTTGGTTTGAAGAATTGCTCATTCTACCATTGCTACAATAATAGACATGACTGCAAAAGTAACTTAGAAGTAAAGTTGAGGTACAATTGTATTACTGTTACTTTATTTTGTTTGAATTTGGGGAAAGAGGGAATTGTGGCTATTTTGAAAGCCAGTGCACAAATCTCACCCATAAGTGCCAGAGCGTTTGTAAAATCATAGCCTGCACCGTGGTTGGTTTTGCCTAAAAGATAAATGGGTGAGTGCCATAAATTAGCAACATAGTTAATAGGTACAACTTTAGGTTTCAGTATTACTAGGTAATATTTGCACTCAGCATTTTTGCAGTTTTCATGTGTATAAATGCTGATTTGAGTGCTTGCCAGGCACAAACCATTCTCCTTTAGGAGCACATGGAGCAGAAATGTGAGGAAAATGGTTGCGGTATTCCAATGTGTGCCTCCATTGTCTATTTTCTTGTAACAGGAATTAGCATTTGATAAAAGTAGCATAGAATGTGCTTGCAGTTTTGTAATTTTGGTGTCTTGCAGCTTAGGCTCTGCATGGGGGAGAGCATTTAGTCATCCACTTGTGCATAATCTCTCTCAATTTGATTTGTGCTAAGGAACAGAAAACTATTTTTGAGTTATAATCCTAAGAATCATCAAGTATTTTGTCCAGTAATATCTAATATAGCAAAATCCAAATTGATGCAATCAAAACTAACACTAAATGAACTAATAGTAGCCAGAAAATACCTTTTATCGTAAGTAGCATAGAGGGAGCAATCTTAATAAATATTTGCCCATTTGTCTCCTTCTGTCTGTTTGCAGTGAGCGTTAATTACCCTTTGGACAATTTATCAAGTGTGTTACAGTTTTTATGTATTTTATTAGATCATTTTAAGGTGAAAGCATTTTGCATTGTTTTCAATTTATATGCGCAATTAAAATTAGACTTGTTTTTATAAATTTAGAACTGAAACAATAGTCACTAAAATAAGTTTTGTATTAGGAATAACTGGATCTTTATTTAGCTTTTGAAAAGATATATTTTAGAAGACAACCATACCTGAGAGCATTAATGCAAAACTGTAATTGAAGAAATCAATTTGACCATTTAAATTACACTAACTTTATCAAGATATTATTTTAACGATTTATCTGCTGCTGTTTTTTCCCGCAAAAGTTTCCATGCCTATTTTTTTGAAATGACTGAAATGTTGCTGTTTTAGGGAAGAGTTTGGTGGCAAGGGGAAGGATGTTCAGGGAAAACTTGTGCATGTTTGTAGTGGCTGTTAAAGGTTTTTTTTCTCCTGCAGTTTTATTTATTTTAAACTGAGAGTTTCCATAGTTTTGTAGCTTTCTATTACATCTCAATGGCCTTTGCTCAAGGTGCTGTACTGCAAGGCAGATTGGCGGTCTGTTATCATTTGCAACAGCCACAGTCTGGGCTGCTGTGCCTCTTTATTTGCACCAAAATGCCATAATGAGCCTTATGATCTTGCACTGTTAATCTGCGTGCAACTATTGAGTTCTGTGAAGCATATGTGTAGATTTGCTGCTTGGTTCTCCTGAAGTACACAATTTTCCAAACCCCTGTTCCTGAACTTTATTTGATTTGAAGCGGAGAATTTGGGTTAGTTTCAGATTAAAGACTGAAAGCGGCAATATGGTTTTCTAATGTACATTATGGAAAACGCTGCATATGTTGAAATTAACGGGTTTACTTTGTCAGTGTTTGAAATCTGATATAAAGATTTGGCATCCCATGCGAAGATAAATGAGAGAATTGTGTGAGATGAATAGACTTTAGTAAAACTCAAGTTTGTCACAATTCAGCAGTCTGTTGATGTTATTCCATGAATTTGACCGAAATATAGTAATGTGAAGCAATTTATATTGCTACATCAAAAATTGGAACCACTCTTTAATGAGTTTAGTCCAGCTTTTAGTTTCTACTTAGTTTACATATTACATATTTAAAATGCATAGAGCGCAATGTAGAAAGTTTTTAATTCTTTTAATATTACTAAACTATAGTGCGAAGTTTTATTGCACAGTAACAAACCTGGTAGAAAGATGTGTGCACAAATGACCATATAGAAAATGTTGGATCTAGCTTCTAACCCGAATAAATCCAGGTTATTTTCACGGTACTTAATCTGAAAGTGTATAGTTTCCTGGCTGGAAAACAGTGTTATAAATGCAAGTGGTGAAGGCACTTGAATGAAGTGGCAAACTGCTGCTAAACCCATAAATAAAATGTGTAGTTTCTTTGTTTTTAAGAATTCTCATCAGTCATTCCTGTTGTAAGTAATCACTGAGCATATTACCATAGGTCTCGTGTATAGTACAGAAAAACAACTTTAATATATTAAGAGTTTTGTGTGGTAGGCTTATGAACACATTCAAAAAGAGCACCTCCCTGTAAAACAATTATAATTGCTCTATGATCTGTAGCATGCTAAATGTGCATATTGGAAGTGCTAGCTTATTACTATACAGATTTTGCCCAGGACGACTCTAGGAAAATGCAAATTATACTGCTGCATATGTTACGACGATTGTTAAATTTTGAAGTGCTGTTGGATGAGTTTTTTTTTGTGTTGAGTGCCATGACCTGCCTTTTCAGGACAGTCCCATTTTCTATTACACTTTGCCATGTGGTCTTTCTGTGAATCTGGGTTTAGATTTATTCTACAATCAAATCATACAGTTGAAGTTTTTATGTAATTTTGCATTGAATTAAAGATACCTCTGGAATGACCAAGTTATATTTACCTCACTGTGAATGTGTGCGTGTGCGTGTGAGAGAGAGAGAGAGATAATACTGAGTTTCAGTAACTCAGCAGGTTTGCAAACTCTGTTAATTTTGAAAAGCAAAAATCCTGCATCTGTCCATGGTACTGAAGTGTCTTGTGTACGTATTGCGCCCGGCTTATTGTATACCAGATATAATCCTTTTTATTGTTTGTATAAAATGCTGATCCAGGAAGTATCTACGCTGCTCTTGCAATGCTTTTCCTCCAGGGACACAGCTTTGCAGCTAGCATATATGGCAAAAGGGGAGATACGGAGTGAGTAAATAGAGATTTGTGAATTCAACAAGCTTTTTCCTCTTTTCTTCCCAAAATACCATAATCATAAATTATGTATCCCCCCATCCCCTAAGTCTTAAGATCATGTATAGTCTTTGTACAAAATGAGAAGTGAAGATGGTGATGCTATACTGAATTTAAATGGCTTATTGAAAGTATTGACATTGTACAATGCATCTGACAAAATCAGATGAAAATAAAGTATTCATCTTCACTTGATGACTGTATAGTAAATGTGTTTATTCTCTCCTTTTCCTTCTAAGAAAAACGTGCTAAGGTGATAGCTTGGCACTTTTGACCTATTTTGATGGGCAATGATCTGCCAGTCCTAGTGAGAGAATCTCTGATTTAAAAACAGTGTAAAATGTGATTTAACAAATTTTCAAATAATTTTTCCCCTCCATATAGCAGTTTACATATATATAGAACGTAATTACTGGTATTTGACAAATTTGAAGGAGTTTTACATTGAGTACAGCTGTGCAGTTACTGTGTTTGAGAATGAAGAGTATATGTTCTAACAGCAACAGCTTTTCTGAATGGATTTTTATCAGTTTCTTGATGACCACAACATCTTTCTCTCTTTCTTTGTTCTTCCTAGACTTGAATGTCCTCTTCTTTGGACTAATTTCTTCCTGTATTTCCATTATGATGAAATTACAGACTAACTCATTTTCTATGACTTCATGGTTGTAGAGCTCAGTGTCTGCATGTATTCCCTATTTCTGCCAGTTGAAAGGCTTTTAAAACCCTAGATAAAACCATATCTTTCGCTTTGATTCTTGATGTCTAACATTGTTGAGTTTGGCTTTTGCCTTTGATTGTGCTTTTCTTTTGTAAATTGTGATAATCTTCATTTTTCTGTCATTTCTCTTCAATGCTGTTTCATCTACTGTATTCCAAGCATTTCATTTATAGGACAGCTTGAATAATCTTGCCTTGCACTGCATTGCATTTGAATAGTTGACAGGTGATCTCATTAAGTGTTTATCCCATTATATCCTTATTTTAGCATAGCTATTCTCAAATCAGGAAGTGCCTTTTCATACGGAAGATGGTAGTAATTTGGAGCTTTTCTCTCACACATCACTAAATGCTGAGCCTTGTTAAACCTTCAACACTGAAGGAACAGACTTTTATATAGTAAAAGTCACAATCGTACAGTATGGAAACAGCCCGTTCGGTCCAACTAGTTCACGCTAACCATGTTCCTGAACTAAATTAGTCCCACTAGCCTGCGTTTGGCCCATATCCCTCCAGACCTTTCCCATTCATGTATTTATCCAAGTATCTTTTAAATGTTATAACTGCATCCACCACTGCTTCTGGCAGTTCATTCCATATACGAACCACTCTCTGTGTAAGAGACAAAAAGTTGCCCCTTGAACGTTTTTTTTTTAAATCTTTCACCTCTCGCCTTAAAATATACTCCTTAGTTTTGAACTCCCCTACCCTAGGGAAAAGACCTTTGCTATTTAGCTTATCTATATCCCTCATGATTTTATAAACTTCTATTTGGGCACCCTTCAACCACCACTGCTCCAGTGAAAAAAATCCCAGCCTATCTTTATAATTCAAACCTTCCATTCCTGGCAACACCCTAGTAAATATTTTGTGAACCCTCTCTAATTTAGTAATAATCCTTCCTACAGCAGGGTGACCAGAACTGTACACTGTACTCAAGAAGAGGCCTCACGAAGGCCTGTAGAACCTCAACATGACATCTCAATTCCTATACTCAAAGGTCTGAGCAATGAAGGCAATCAAAACTGCCTAAAAATAAAATGACAAACTCAATTGCCATCCCACCAGTCTACTCTGTCTTCAGTGAAGTGATGGAAGGGGTTGTCAACACTGCTATGAAGCAGCATTAGCAATAACCTGCTCCCTAATGCTCATTTTGGGTTCCACCAGAGCCAATCAACTCCTGACCTCATTGCAGCTACAAATCATGGCAAATTAAGATCTGTGAAGAGATATTACACTGTATTGAGAGATCTGAAAGAGAGGTGGGTGATTGAAATGAGGATACAAATCAGTCATAATCTGGCTAAGGGAACTTCAGTGCTGAATATCATATTCCTACTGTTAATGGCAAACTACCCCAGAGGACACTTTTTTTGAATAGATCCTATACACCTAGTTTCTATGTGTATCCTCTTTCCCCCCCACCCGCCCTTCAACCCCTCTCCAGTAACAGGACTCCCTATGATTTCATTTGTCTGCATTTGTAGGGATGTGTAATTGCATGTTTGTACAGGCATATCTTCAATCTTCCTGCAACATTCTCTTGAGCATTGTAGTAGGTGGTCTCTCCTTAACACATTTATATCCCCAACTATTTTCATGCCTCTTCTGGAAATCTCTGTGAGGTTAAACCATAATAGAAACGTAGAAGAATTTAGTGCACAGAAAAAGGCCATTCAGCCAATTTTATCCGTGACACCAGATAAAGAATTCCACTTGCTTGTCTTTGGTCTAGCCAAGGGGCCTTGGACTCCTATCAAATGTTAAGTGTGTTGAGAATTTCTATTTCTGCCACCTTTTCAATTGATGAGTTCTAGACCCCATCATTATCAGATTCTTAAACCAATTTCTTTGCACCAAAATTGCTATCTCACAGACTAATTGAGCAATAGCCTGATGTTGGCATTTTCATCAAAGTGTGTACCTTACAGCTAATGTCACAAAGCTGTCTATCGCCATCCCTGGGTATGTCCTGTCCTGTCCCATCAGCAGAGCCAGAATTGACAGCAAAATGGGTGTAGTCAGGGAAGTGGCCCTGGGAACCCTCAACATTGACCCAGGATCCAGTAAATTCTCAGGGCATAAAGTTAAACATGGGCATGGCAAGCTCCATTTGATTGCTACCTATCACCCTCAGCTGACAACACAGTGCCACTTCATGTTGAATGCAGTTTGCAAGAAAGGAACAGCATTGACCTCTGGGATTTCAGTTCTGCTGGCTACTTCTATCTCATATCAACCAATGTTTTATAAAATTTTAGAATTTGAGACAATAAAATCTTTACATTTCATTCATATTGCTGCTGATTTTCAACTGACAAGGGCATAAATGAGTGGGTAGGCAGAGAAATGGAAGTGAGGCCTTAATGAGTGGACACTGAGGGGATAGAGCAATGGTCTGAGTGTTTTGAGTGGTAAGGGTGTTGTCAGCCAAGGTGGGAAGTAGAGTATATAAGGGGCTGGGGTAAGGAGCTGATTACAATGTGTGGGAAGAGGAGCCTCTCTGACTGTTCTGTAACATACCAAATGCTCCTTTCTTGCCGTTTGTTTTGGCATCTGAGGTCATGCTAGTTTAAAAGGTTTTTAAAAAAAAAAGATGTTCATTAAACAGATGAAGGTGGTAGTGAGCTATAATGGGGTCACCTTGGAAAGTAGTTTGAAAACAATTGCAGTAGCTCTTTGCATGTATGTAATCCAGCAAGGTCATATTTATTTGTTGGTTGATGTAATGCAGGAGGAAGTTCGTACTAACTGCATTGAATGCTGAAAAGCTGAAGTCACACTGATTTTATACAAAGGAGTCGTCCACTGCTTGCTGTTAATAGGGGAATCCATTGTTTCTACCACTTGAAGTCTAATGTTTTCATCTATTTGAAGTGGCTTTGAAGTATTTCCATTTCTTTATAAATTATAAAAGTTTCTGTAATTGCGTCTCAAAACTATTCAGATCTTCTGCGACTTATTTTCAGACTTTGTCGTCTTTGGTCACTCTCATTTGAACAGTCTTCAGCCAGTTTGATTCACTTCACATGATGTGGAGAAAGAAACTGCTGCACTCATTGCAACATCTATAGAGCACTGACAATATCCTGGCTGTAGTACTGAAGAATTATACTCTCAAGGTAACATGTTCCATTATATTTCAATACTGGCATCCAAACAATATTGTGGGGAAAAAGGTTTCTTTGTTCCGTCAACAAAAAGCATGAAAAGACCAATCTGGCTTATACCCTCATGAAAAGCAATTGAAAGTAGATGGATGGGACAGTGTCATTGAAAGTACTTTGGAGTTACATTTAAGCAGCAGTAACCTGCTTACCTAGAGATAAAGGCTTTAATATTTCAGGTGTTTACAGTTGTATTAAAGAGCTGTATGCCCTGCATTTTTGGTGGGTTCCACATTAATTTCTCTGAGATTCTGGCGTCTCCTCAGAACTATCCTTGGCTTATGGGCATCACAAGCATTTATTCTCCATTCCTAGTTACCATTAGTGTCATTGGGTTGGCTGCCTTCTTGGACGGCTCGTAGTGGTTTTGCAGAGTTGAATAGTTTGCTAGTTCACTTTGGAGGGCGATTAATTAGTAACCATATTTGTGTAAGACTCGAGTGACATATAGTGAAGGCTGGGTAGGGATGGCAGATCAAGTTTCCTCAAGAGCATTCGTGAATCAGTTGGGTTTTTATGACGATCCAGCAAAGTTGTGGCCACACTTGTCGTTACCAGTTTAGAAATAACTTCAAACTCAAACTATAATGGTGGCGTTTGAACTCTCATTCTGCAGATTGTACCTTCAGGGCCAGTAGATTGTTCCTACAGTACCATGGATATTTTCTAATTAACCTGTTCAGGGATGTCATGGCACACCTCTGGAGCAGGTGAAACATGAACCTAGAGCTCCTGGCGCAGAGGTAGGGACACTACCACCACATCACAAGCGTTCACCTGCAGTACCATAACTTCTGCATTACAACTCTCAACATTTTGAACGTATCCAATCAGAAATTGGCTCAGTAGGCGTCATTTCAAATAGTGAACCTGCAAACTAGCCAAAATCACTTGATGTATTATATCAGTGAAGGTAAGTGCTCTGGCTTTGTGCTTTTTCCTAGAATGCATCTGCAATTATAGTAGTGCCCTCTAGATACCTGTAGTATTTGCATTACCTTGGTAATATGGTTTGAGTTGAACTGTGCCGAGCACTGATGCCTGTAGCACAACTTGTCCTGCCTTGTCAACCTGAAAACGACCCATTTATGCTGACTGTTTCCTGCTAACAAGCCAATTTTTTAATTATGCCAGTATGATACCTATATCTTGCATTGTTTTTTCCAACAATAACCTTTTGAGGCACTTTATCAAATACCTTCTGGAAATATAAATACAGTAGATCCATCAGTTCCCCATTATGCACAGCACATGATACTTCAAAGGATTCCAGTAAAGTGGTTATATGTGATTTCCCTTTCACTGAACTATGT